AAAAAAAAAAAAAAAAAAAAAGAACTCAAAACTCCAAAAATGAGTAACAGATGATCATTCTTGTCTGGAACATTCTTAGAATCATGGATTTGGCTCGGCTGGATTTGCCCCATCTTAGTGTTTTCTCTGTAAACAGTCACATTTCAATAAGTAATATCAGGGCATCATGTAGTCGAAAAGGCCCATGTAAATAAGTCATCCGACCGAAGAAACAAGTAAATGAATCGAGTCTAAGAAAAACATTAATCACCTTTCCTAGAACAGAACATTGACCCTGTTAACTAGAACAAATATTACACGACAGACTCACGCAAAACATCTATTTACATAACATATTTTACGAGACATGTATATTAACTAGAATGGAACATGGATCCCATTTGATACTACTGCCAAAATCTTCTTCGATGAACTTAACAGATATAAAGGCAGACTCCTTGATAGTGTTTCGTAAATCGATGAGTTACAAAGAAAACGTAAGTTGCTCTTTCCAAGAAGGCATGAAAAAACAATGACAAGAATGATTTCTACTTGTAGATACAGAGATATACCGAAAGGCATGGAAAAACAAGTTTCGATTGGTTCTCAAGCGCGTATTCAAGTAGAATGCTTCAAATGATTTATGCATGAGTTCTGCTTGACGTAACAATGACAAAAATCATGCAGAAACTCTTTCCAACAGTTCTAATGCGCCCATAATTGGGATTCAGTTCGATAACAGAGACTGGTGTTTCCAAACAGATATAAAGAAAGAACAAATCATTTGGCAATTAGTGTCAAGATAAATTATTATATCACGAAACAATGCGAGGCAGCTATGTGAAAATGAGTTTTTTTATTGAAATAGAACTACAGTTCAGACACTATCAGAGCCACAAGAAAGTTTACGATCAGTGAATAAATATAAACACGAGATTAAGGAACTGCAGCAGCCTATATACCTTCCGTTTCTTGAATTTTTCATCTCCAAACCTTGTAGTATTGCTATAGTTGGATGTAGGTTGCTCCGTCGTGTCACCCTCCAGCGGCAAAGTTTTAATCTCATCATAAAAACTTTCAGTCAGACCAAGCAACCTGGGACAACCAGAAGAAAGCCAGCACTTGAATCAGTCAATTAACAAGATACATAAAAAATATTAAGGTTCAAACTTAACCCATCCAGGAATGTAGCCACCTACTGCTCTTCTTAGGACTTACCCGTTTCTTGATTTCTTTAAATGTTTAATAATCTTCTTTTTCTCAACTTTAGTGAGCGGAGCACGGGAGAAAAGTTCCTCTTCTCGACGGGCACGATCTTCCATCTTTGCAATGGCATCCATCACTTCTCTACTGTCTGATCCTAGATTTTCTCTGACCTGTAAAATTTTTCGGTCATGAATAGATCAGCATATAATGATGGTAAAGAAAAAAATAGAAAAATTCGATTAACTACAAAAGCACCCGGAGATAGAGCATCAGTACAAAAAGAACAGTTATTTTTCGAAGACAAAAACACTCCATTACCATGTTTCTGTATTATGCATTGCATCATTTGCATCCTCAAATACAAACCAAAAGCATGCATTATTATCAAGGGGATAATTGATGAATTGAAATTTTCGAAAGATAACCAGAGTTTTCTGTCATGACACTAAAGGTTCTGTGGTAGTTTTTGTAGCCATCCCTAAAAATGTTAACTACCTCTTCAGGTCTTCCCTCAAGATCATTCATTAGCTCCCTAACATAAGCACTCTTCCTTGCTTGTCGTAAAATTTCTTCATCTCTTCTCCGAGCAATTCTCTCCTGTCTTGACATCTTATCTTCATCCATAGAAGAAGGTGCGAATTTCGGGGGTTGATATACACCACTACCTTTCTGAAAAGCAATTACATGATAATTCTTGCACGTGAAAAAATGAGAATGAATGCAAGTAATATATACAAATACTAATTTTAGATAGTTTACATTAACCAGTTCTAGCAGAGTGAATGGTCCAATTACCTCCATGGTTGTATTTGTTTTTCTAACAAGTAAGTCAGGATTCGGGCGAAGTTTTAATGAGTCCTCACCCTCCGGGGTTTCATCTGCTTCCTTCCCGTTTGAGCCTTGTTTCTCCACTGTTGTTGTGGTCCTCGTCAGTTTTTGAATTTGATATTGGAGTTTCCTATCGATTGGCCTAATCTGCATGAAAACAAGTGATGAGTAACTTAATTTCCAAGATGTAAGAAATGGAAAACACAATGCAGAAATTTGACGATGCTTCTTCATAGCTCTGTTTGAAAGATGATGCTTCAGTAAGTGTCTACGCTGCAATTAGATATGAAAAATGAGTAATGCTATGTGTACATAACACTCACGTCAAGATGCTTAGAAAAGCTGTCAATCAGAAAACCGTGCTTCAGTCATTTATAACGATGCAAATCTAGAAGTCACATTAAAAGAACCAACAAGATTATATTAGAAGAAGCAAACAAAGTTGATCATACTAAAGGGATAACACTTAACACCATCCATTTGGAAAGGCAAAATCGAAGTACACTGTACACGGCGGGAAAACCTGAGCTTTCTTCATCAATTGAACTAAAATAGGATAATTATCACAGATAGAAAACGTACAAAGCACGACAGTCAGGATACCATGAACAAGGTCTATTTCTCAAAAGGAAAAGCATTTCACCGAAACAAACGTAGATCTTCACAATAAGATTTAATAGCATCAGGTCAAGTTAGCATTTCTAACAACTAATATCCATCATAGTATTATACTTTACATTCAAAACATCAATTTATGCTTACAAACAACCAACTTCGGCAACGT